TCCCTGTGAACACAACAATCGCACCCTTTCTCTCTCTACACATAACTCCAAATCAAACCTCTCTCTCTCCTTTCTCTCTCTCTCTATACATACATATATAGAAAGACGAACCCATATAGAGAAAAGTATAAAGTTCCGATCTTTATCCTCAATCTCTTTGCGAGTATCGCTTGTGTGCATCAATGGATGCCAAAGGACGAAGCTTGATGAACAAGGACATGAATGATCATAACAATAACAACGCCGAAGACGAAATGGACCTCAGGAGAGGTCCATGGACCGTCGAAGAAGATTTCAAGCTCATCAATTACATTGTTACCCACGGAGAAGGACGATGGAATTCTCTCGCTCGCTGCGCCGGTAAGATATATATACACACACATATACATATATATATATATATATATTTGTGTATGCGTATATATGTACGTTTTCTATAAGTCTTTGCCGGAAAGAGCCAAATAACAAGTTGAGAAAGAGAATTTGATTGTTACCTGTGTTCAATCCTTGTGAAAATGATTTTCAAAAAGGTTTTTTTTTTTTATAAAATTAAAGATGTGAGAAATGGATTTTTTGCCGTATAAGCATAAATGAAAAGACCCTTCATGGACATGAACCCAAAAGTGCAAAGCTTTCATGCTTTCTTTGTAATATTATCATGTACATGGATTATTTAATGATCTATATGTATATATTCGGTATATTAAACGATCACAAGAACAAGGCCTTTTGCAGGATGATAACGAGGAGTTGTATATATTAATATTCTCCCGAGTTTGAATATAATAAGACCAAATCGGGCATTAAAAAAATGGTGAAAAAAATATCGCCAAGTAACTAATGATCATCATCTATAAGGGAATAGCACTAACTCAATGGAAAAAAAGGTTTCGAGAAATTGACCCTTTTAGATACATTTCATCATCAACGGTCCATATATTTTTCATAAAATTACCATATATGAATTCTTGAATGATCGTGAATGATCTTTTAACTATTACATATTATAACTAGTTTCACTAAATTTGTAAACAAATATTTTTCCAATGAAACAGGGCTCCAACGAACCGGAAAAAGCTGTAGACTACGGTGGTTGAATTATCTCCGACCAGACGTCCGCCGTGGAAATATCACTCTTGAAGAACAACTGTTGATCCTCGAACTCCATTCTCGTTGGGGCAATAGGTATATCTGTTTTCTTTTTCTCATTATAATAATTGAAACAATGACTCACACCGTATATTTCAGTTCAATCTTGTAACATATAATAATAACCATGCAAATTCAGGGCGGTCCTAAATCCAAATCTAACATATATATAAATATATGTTTCGAAAATCATCTCTAATGTTGCTAACTACATACATATTTGGTCGTGTGATTGTAGATGGTCTAAGATCGCGCAATATTTACCGGGAAGGACCGACAACGAGATAAAAAATTATTGGAGAACGAGAGTACAGAAACATGCAAAGCAACTGAAATGCGATGTGAATAGCAAACAGTTCAAAGACACCATGAGATACTTGTGGATGCCTCGCCTGGTCGAGAGGATCCAAGCCGCCGCCGCCAAAACCACCGCATCCGCCACGTCAGCATGCGTCACCGACTCGACAGATCAGTTTAACTTCGTGACGACGTCGTACGGAACCGACAACGTTAGCAGCAGCATGGGAAACAGCGTGGACATGCAGTCGCTTTGTAACCACCCTAATGGTTACAACAACACGCCGGAAAATTCCAACGCGGCGGTTTCTCCGGCGTCGGACTTGTCGGAATACCACAGTGCTGCAATAAATCCGAATCTGAGTAACCAGAACCAGAACCAGAATCCAAATCCGAACCCTTATGCCGGTGATATCCAAACGGGGCCGATGGGGAGTTATTATGATTCGGATATCAACTTGGTCGGTCCAACGACGTTGCCGGAGAATTATTTCAATAATAATTGCAATAACGTGTTATTAGATGAAGATTTTCAAGCAGCACAGGAACAGAGTAACATTTGGTTTGAAAATGGAGGTTCTTCGGACAGTTTGTGGGACATTGGTGGCGATGAAGACTTCTGGTTCTTACAACAGCAGCTCAACAATGGCAGCTTCTGATACGACAAAGGAAGAACAAAAAATAAAATAAGAATGAAATATTAAAGGGAATCAAACTAAATTATATATGCATGTGTGTGAAAGGAATTGTTTGTAGAGAGGACAAAAATGAAAAAAAAAAAGGGAAAAGAAAAGGAAGAAGCTTCTACTTGGAGAAGAGGGTTAAAGGCAAACGAGTCATGATATGTATGGACCTAGAATACGTTTTTTTTTCTTTTCCCTTTTTTTTTTGTGTTATTTTACAAAGACAATAGATAGAATATGTTTATATTAGCATCATAATTATGTCATACAAAAATATTTTTTAAATGAATCTGTCGTCATCTGCTTGTTTGTTTTTGCGGATTTATGAATTAGTTATTTAATTGCATTTGTTTTCACACTCTATTAAGTGACATCCGTTATAGAAGCATGCTTTAGGGGAAGAAATTAATTTAATTAAATGTATTTTCATGGAGCGCATAATTGGTTCCACCATATAATTATATTTAACGCGAGATATCATAGATGCACAACATACACTCATATAAATTATTTAAAAAATAACTTGGGAAATATAAAAAATGGGTAACCCAAGCCATGCTGCTTGATGAACTATGTCTACGGGGCCTGTATATTGAAAAACAAAAGAAAAGGTCCAAAAATTCCAATTCTCCGACCACGTGTCTGCATCTCATTGGTTGTGTTAAGGTGTTTTGAGTTTTTTTAGGTGGCCATTAGGGGGACTATTATTGAAAAGTATGGAAATATAATAATAATAATTGTTGTTATAAACTTATAATATATGTTTAGTGATCATAGCCCTCCACTAATGCGAGCAAATCCTTAGTTTTTTAATTACACCATTATTGTACGGACGTTAAACCCCATTTATCCAGACAACAGTGTCTTGTTTGGATCGTCATCAATACTCCGTCGTATTGGTGTATTCCACATATGTATACTATTATTGACAAATTTTTTTTTATATATTCTTAATGAGCCGATATTCGTATTAATTATAAAAAGAAAAAAATAGAGCATATATAAGATATAATTTTAAAAGAATATTAATTTGGCAGCTTCGTTTCCATTTGAAATTTACGATTCAAATTCCTATAACCTTATAATTCAAGAAATATAAACAACAGTTTTGTTCTAAACAAATAATATATTACGTTACGAGCAAATTTTTTTCTTCTAAAAATTGAATGTTCACACTACATATATACAAGTGGGAAAAGTGGAAGTGGCACGTGCGGTGAGGAAGAAATAAGGCACGTGATTAAATAGTGAAAAACGAAGTGGGAAGATGGCTGCAACAAACAGGAAACGGCAATCTTTGGAGGCTATATGCCGATGCCTACAGCCACCGGAGTGGTCCCATTTATGTAAATTTTATCTTATAATATTTTCACAATCTAAACATACCATATTTTTAAACCGAATTTGCTTATATATATATATATATGCCGATACGTGCAGTGGATTTTAGGATTATGGCGATGTATTTTCGCGATAAAGGTGGAATTCATTACTCGAACTTTTTCTTTTTGAAAATTTGTCTCACCCCTATAAAATAAAACATTTTCGTACATTGGTCTTGAAGCTTATCAAATGCTAATTCTTGTTATTTTCTTTTAATATGCTCTGTTTTTTTTTTTGTTATCGTATGTTAATATTATTTAGGGTTCTCCTAATATGTTGTATTCATGTATTGAAAACTTTGAAACCAATTTGGATTCACCAATCTTTGTTCAAGTTTAATTAATGTTTCAAACTTATTTTACAAAACTCTTATTAAAAAAATGTTAATAAATCAAGTGTAATAATTAATCTTTTTGTGGTGTTTTCCACCCAAACATTTTCTATATCAATCTTCTTTATTAACAATTAGAAATGTTTTAGACCAATTTTGTTATTTGACCGAGTTGGAGACGACAGGAAAGAAATGGAAAAAAAAAAAAAAGACGAAAGGCTAATCAATTGCCACGTGGCATATTATAATTGGAGAGTCGGATCTTTCTACTTTGTTCGAAAGCCGACCTCGAGACAGAAAGGGAGAACCCGACTCGGTCAAGGTCCACGCGTCCAGAAACTTCCACGTCGATGTCTGCGTGGCAAGTTCTGGGCCCCGCATCGTATTTTCTGTTATAATAACATAAACATACCGTATACGAATCCGAAAGCTGCGAAATACAATGTATTTGGAAAATTAACAAATCTACGGTTAGAATTGAGTATATCAATAAAGGATTTTTCTATGAGGTTAGAAAATAAATAATATAAATATTTTAAAATAATTTTGTTTTGATTGGCCTAAATTATTCAATAAAAGAGCTCATATTATATATTAAAATGATATACGATCAAAAGATTTCCAAAAATGATTCTATAATTATATTTATAGTTTCATAAAAATTATTCATATTACCAAAAATCTACAAACTAACAACAATCTTTAATCTATATTTCCAAAATTACAACTATAAATGAAAAAAAAACTATAAATGAAAAAAAACTTGAAATTTAACAAAAAAAAAAAACAAACTTTGATATTATATGACATATGGAAGAAAAAAAAACAAAATTAATTACATCGACAATTTTTTATTATTAAAATTTGAAATAAATTTTTTTAAAAGACGCGCGATAACTTTGTAACGTATATGATGAATTCATTTTCCATTTAATTATTTCAGACATAGTTATTTTATTTTTAGATATCAAACACTAACCGGATAAGATATTAAGAGTAACGTGCAAAAAAATTGAATAAAAGTTTTCGAAGCAAAAATCCATTACAATGGATCGAGACCCAAACCCGCAATTAAGCACATCAAACTATGCCCAAATTATAAAATTGATATGACAGTTATTTTCCGTACGATTTTAATATAGTAATTTATTCTGATCAGGGATTTAAATTTAAAATTTTGGGGGTTTCCGTGGTATATATAATGTTTTGTTGTTCCATCACAAATTGATAGATACCCGCCTTTGTATATTGTGGGCACTTGACAACCACTTTTCTTTTGCTATTATGTTTTATGTTTAAAAGAAACTATATATATATATATATAATTAAGAACAAAATTTTAAACAAAACAACAAAACCACACCAATATTTAAATATTAAATCAAAACCAAACAATTAGAATCTAACCTAAATAAACCGTAACCAGTCACATATATGAAAAGTCTTATAATATAATTTATACAATTTTCTATGTAAATTGGCGCCATTTAAATTCTGTGATGCCCAAAAATAGCTATTGATCATAGGTAATACTGAGAAATAATAAACCCTAACCGATCGAATTTATTTTTATATTAAGAAGAGAAATCCCAATTTGCAACAAATAGAGATAAATCGCCCGTATGATATTTCCACAAGTGAAAGATTTATGTTTTGACTAGGACTAAGTTGATGCTCAGCTAATCTGACAAGAGTTCATATAACATTAACATGACTTGTCTCAGCAATCAAACTATATTCCACTAATCATATTTATATTATATATATGATTGTAATGTGCAATTATTATTAGAAAAAAAAACAAATTTTTGTATCGGAAAATTCGTTGGTAAAACCATTTTGTGATCTATTGTCGTGGGACATTGTTCCTCTGAAATAGCTTGGATATTAAATCAAAACCCAACACTTCATAGATGATAAAACGGCGTGATTTTCTTGCGCACGTCCTTGAAACGGGACGCTGTTTCGTTCAGGGGTATCTACTTCCTCTAACGATAGTTGATGGATTAGACATTTCTAGAGGTGGGTTCCAATTGAAAAGATTAAATGAAACAAATTCGAATACGATTATGAAAATAGATATAAAATCTGAAACGAAAAATGAAAATGGGGGGAAATTGGAAAAAACAGTTGAAATTTGGGCCGGGCTTCATAAATGGGCTGGGCTTTTTCTTATGGAGTTGATCAATGGAGAGTGCTCCTTCCCGTTTCTTGATTTCTGCGTTTTCACACGAAGAGGGTCATTCTGCAAATTTAGAAGTTGAGGATCCATTTAGTAGTTTCCAAGTATTCCGGGACAGTTTTCGTAGACAGCTTTATAATATAATATATATATTATTTTGGATATTTAATTTTAAGTACGTCGTTTAGTTAGCTTTTCAAGAGGAGCATCCGAGAAATTGTTTAGGGCAGATTCAAGTAGGAAAGCCGAAGAACGACTCTTTTGTCTGCTCGAAGGATCTTCCGGGTGAGTTGAATTTCTCTCTTCGCAGACTCTTAATCATTACTCGAGTTTCGATTTCCTCTCATTGTTTCTGGGTTTCGACCAGACCGGTTTTGTTTCCGAGGTTGAGTTCCCTTTGCTCAGATCTGTTACCAGCTTCACCCCGATTTCTGCTTCTGGGTTTTTCTGTTAATTTTTCCAAAATGTTGAATTTTTTCCGGCTAAATCAATACGTCTATGCGGGTTGCTCGATGAACCCTAGTTCTAAAGCTTGGGTAGTTCGATGATTTGTTAATACTGTTCGTATCCCCGATCGCGATTTAGGGTGGGATCTTGTTCTTATTCTGTTTCCGTGATCTCTTTTTTGTGAATGTTTAGATTTGAGCCACGAGTTCGAGTTTAGATGTTTACAAGTCCAAGCTAGAATCTTTAAGCTGGAAGAAAAAAGCAAGTTCTGTGGTTTACATGGTCTGGATTTGGATCCGATTGCTTTTGCTTTTGAAACGTGATGATGATTAACGTTAACGACAGTTTATGTATCTTTAGGTTGGTGTTATCTCATATGGGTGGGTATAACGATTCGGGTTCATCGGAGAAGAGATCAAACGGCGCCATGAACGACATACCGACCTTCAGCGCAGAGAATATGCAGAACAACTTGAGAATTATACAGAACAGGTCAGATTCTAGGTTTCGAGATTGGAATCATCTGTCTGTTACTTGATGTTTTGTGCTCTGGTTTTTCTTGTACAGTGTAACAACATAACACCGGAGTTTGATTCTTTCTCTTTCTTCTGATGGCAGCCGGACATTTTTGTCGATCATCGGTGGTGTCATTGCTGGAGTTCTGGGATTCACGGGCTTGACAGGTTTCGTGTTTTACTTTCTGGTGATGTCAATTACTTCTGTCGGGCTCTTGGCCAAGGCAGGATTCTCGGCCAACATGTACTTCGACTCGTGGAACCGGGTCCTCTTTGACGGCTTTCTAGGTGGCCTCATGGTATGCCTCTTTATATGTTTGTTTTTGGTCAATAGTATCGTTGTCTCAAAGCAATAATCTCGTTGTTGATATGAATTTACCCGAAGCTTGACCGATGTTTTTTGTTTTTGCAGTCCTTTGTGCTGTTCTGGACGTATCCTTTGATCTGAAAACCTTTCATGAACTTCTTCCTGTCTTTGCGCGCGCACGCACGGCATTTTCTTCGTTAAACGATATCAAAACCATAACTGATTTCTTTGACACAGAGTTAGATTTGCATATGACATTGTGCACATCTTCTAAGGGGATCTCAATGGGGTTTGGCGATGGTCCAAAGACACTGAACGGGACAGAAGGTTTGGAAGGTGCAGATGATGTTTCTAGCTGCAGACACTTGAAGCATGTTCTCAAATGTATGTCTTCTTTTTGCTCTGGTGATTCACCTTCTATCAAGTAGGGGAAATGGTATTTGCTCTCTCTAAGATTTCACACTTGTTTGCATAATTTTAAATATTCCAAAAAAAACCCTCCATTTCTTTTTTTATAATTTTATCATAAACCCATGCTCCATCAAGTAGAAATTGATTCTTCAATTAATTTTACAGACAAGTTCTAAGTTAAACCTCAAACAAAAACAACATTGTAATGTTATTGCCATGCTCCCCAACTACAAAAACCAACCAACCTGAACACGTTTTCTTACATAGTAGTAGTAAAAGTAAGGGCTTTTATTCAGAAGGTGAAATGAGCCACTTCTTCGTCTTCGTCCTCATCAATGGCGTCACCGCTGTCTTCTTCCTCAAACCTCTCTAAGTCCTCTTCTTCTTCCTCTTCCTCCTCTGTCACCATTCTATCTCTGTCCTTCAGACCAGTGCTCAACACCACTCTCTCTCCTCGAGAACCCTCCATGTCCTTTCTTAGCTTCTCCATGTTCTGTCTCATCCTTTCTTCTTCCAACCTCTCCTTCTCCGCCCTTCTCTTGTCCAGATCGGCCCTGTTCATACAGATTACCCATATTTCGGGTTTCGTAATAAAACCTAACGTAACGTAATAAATGGGTCTAGAGGAGAAGGTATCGTCGTTACTTGTATGTCTCCATGTATTCCTCGGCACTTGCATCGATTGCTTTAAAGAAATCGTCCATTCCAGCACCGGAAATTGCGGATACACCAACCGACTTCAAATTCCGATAGAACTCGTCCAGTGCTAGCGAGAGACTGTGAGACAAAGTCGAAGTGTACGAGTTATCTGTCTGTATAGCTGCCTGAAATGACTCGAAATCTTGCATCCACTGTACAAAAAGATAACAATCAATCACAAATCAAGAACAACAATCTATCAGATAAAGGTTACAGAAGAAGATATTACCTCTATAGCAAACTTGTGATCAGCCACATCAATCTTGTTGAAAGCCAAAACGAGAGGCAGACGGGTTTTGTAGAGTATACTACAAGCATAGAGCATGTTGCTCATAAACGTAATTGGGCTTGTCGAACGAGGAGTGTCGACCACATAAGCGATAACAGTAGGAAAGGTTGAGGCAAAAGCCTCGGTAATAATAGCCCCGGAAGCGGACCATGTGAATATCTCGATCTGACCAGGAGTGTCCACAAGTACATAGTCAAGCTGGTCTGCACGCTTCTCAATGACAGAGATAACCTGATTCAAAGTGGAAACAGCATGTTCACAGTAAGAAAGAGGGGACAAAATCAATAGGTGGCCAAGAGAAGTACAGAAATGACAAAATTTTCCATGAAACCCGCATGATAAAGAACCTAAACAATACATTTAATATTAGGAACTTGGGCACCGAACTAAATTTGAGGCAAAGTGAAGGCTTTTTACCTCATCAAATTTTGTTGCAAACAAGTTGAGAGACGTGAGAATACCGCCATTAGGCCCCAAATTGAACTGCTTCATTACCTCCTTGTATTTTACCGTGTCTCGTATATCAATGTTTGCACCAAATGGCAGATTCATGACAGCAGGGTCAAGGTTCAACACATACCCTCTACTGTTTGAAGCAGATGTGTGACAAACCAGCCGATGAAGAAAACTGGTTTTTCCACTACCTAAGAATACGAATAAATCACATCAGACAAATGGATCCCACTCAAGAAACATATGTCATAACGCGCCACTCTTTCATAACATCGTCTACTTACCTGCCATTCCAACAACGATAATAATAACAGGCTTTCTCTTGAAATTTGTCGATGAACTCGCATCCTGATCACTTACACGAAGCTTGTCCAATGATTCAGCTAGCTTTTGATTTTCTTCTGCAGATCCCTTCAGAAGGAGACAAGAACAAAACCATTTCAAACTATCGCTAAAGTAAAGGTTCCTCTAAGCAACAAGTCCAGTACCAACTGTGTTCAAAAGCAACAAAATACATGAAGAGAACAAGTATACACATGTAGATTAGAATAGACAGTGTCAGCACCTGCTCACTCGACGACTCCATGGGATCCATAAGCAAAGAAGTCACGCGGGAGAATCAGTGATCTCAACTGCAAAAAGTCACCCACAACCATGTAAACCGCTTTCCCAATACAGCATATTAACCTAACGCAGAAACAATAGACATTCGAGACAATGCTTCTCGTTGAAGCATTTCTACGGACATCTTGTGGGCAACTCTCTTTCCCCACCAAGGAAAGACAGAAACCATGATCGTGGCTGGACATGGAATGGAAAAGAAACTCGTTCCGAAATTTTGGAAATAACGCATTAAGTATCGAAACTAGTCAACTCGCATTAGCTCGTAATTGAACTTGCGCCTGTGTAGAGACTTAAACTATGTATTTAACAACTATATCAAAATCAGCAAACACCTTGTCAGTGTGTAAATACAACGTTGCTACAATAAAGTTGTTCTATTTGGCATTTAATCGAACACCTAGAGGATGCACGGGATGTTCGCCCAGACACCCACACCAAAGCAGAAAAATAGAACCCGCGAATAACATAAACCCTAAAACGCAAGCAAACGCGTGAATCGCATCAAAGGAAAACATACACCGTTTTCACAAGAATTCCAAGAGAATTCCAGACATTTCAATGGGATTAGTCGAAAACCCAGCGAAGCCAAATTCCACTGTTCCTATGAACTTCGAATCGTACCTGAGGGTGAAGGGTCAGGAGAAATCGACGGTGAGAGTGAGGAGAGGTAAGGTCTCTGTTTCCGAAACGAGAGTGATGAAAGCCAGAGACAGAGAGGAGAGGATGTAGGGTTTCCGGGTTTGTCGAGAGGCGAGAGAGTTGCAAAGTCTGGAGGGGAGGGGAGAGGAGAGGAAAAACTAAATAAATAAATAAATAAAACTGTGGCAAGCCCGCCCGTTTTAATTGGGCCTATTTTCTCTCAATAATAAAGTTAATAACTTCAAATGAAATAAGTTACTGGGCCGGATTTTGGGCTTAATTCTACAGGCCCAATCTAAAATTTTGGAATGGTCCAAACCCCTGCATGCATGCATGCATGCATGCATACCTAATACGTTCATATACATCATGGAGCTGCAAGAGAGGAGGCAAGCGAATTGCATTAGATGGTCAACCAATTTTTCCCCCCTCATTAGTCAATCAATTTGGAATTAAACTATATCCTTTTCATAAGGTTTCAAATCATCTGTATAATTATTTCATAATGTTCGTACGTTAATATTGAAACCCTCTCTGAATGGATTTGAAATGAATTATTTGTATTTAAAAATATTGCATTAGATGTGATGTTTAAATTTCAATTATTTATTTAAATTTTATGAGACGAACTTTGGAAAAGTGATATTGACATCTTTAGCTGTTTGATCTTTTTCACGATCACTTAGTCAACATATACAGCTCTCAACTCTGTATATTTTCATTGTATTCACCAAACCCACTATTTTTGTCTTTAAAAAAATTGCATGCATATATATATATATATGACCAATTTGTAATTCCATCAAGATGCATTTAGTATCGATTTTAAAATTGATTATAGTCAGACTGAAATTAAAAAAAAAACGTGTAACATTCATCAGTACGATCATTAGTAAACAACATCAAATTCATATGAAAACGAATCATTAGCGAAAACAGTTTACTTTTCCAATATAAGTTGGGCGATTTCCACTACGTCCTCCTGAAATCAACGTGACGAGACATATGTATTTGCGGCGATTATTGATTATTAAGAACGGTGATCCATGCAAATTCTCTCATTCTTGTATAGGATTGCGTATTTTGGGATTTGGTTAAGTTGTTTTCTTGAATTTCTTGTTTTTAAAATGATTATATTTATCTGTTTTTTAGAACTGTTTTTATTTAAATCCCTATTTGATTTTCATCACAATACTATTTTTAAAAATTTGTTTTCATTTAATATTTTATTAAAATTCAATTAGTTTAGTTTGAAGAACTATATTCAATCATTTGATTTTGTTAAAACGTGATTATGTATATATTATTCGATTTCGTTCCCTTTTTTCTACACAAATCGAAATTCCGTACCCCTAATAACTTTGTGCTCCACAAAAGCACGTCTATACGAATTTGTAAATATTTGTACCGATAAGTGTATTTATACCAAATCCATTATGTTTTATTTCCCTTTTTTCAACGTTTTCAACGCACTTATAAATACATACGTATACATGCATGTCCTTGAGTACACACATATACCCAGTTGTCTTCTTTAATAATTATATAAATGTATATACACAGGCAATATTAGGGAGATATGTATATATATATATCCACGCTATTTGTAAGTTATTAGACTTTTTGTAAGGATGTGTAATAATTTACGACGGTCCAACAACTGCGATGATAAAGAAGTATGGTCAAAGCCCATACTTTACAGCGTTTAAATTCCCTAGTATTCTAACAAAATCATATACTTCACGAATTGTATATCATAATCGTGTTCAAAGGGATAGAGAATTATATAAACTAATTTATACAAAATTAACAAAGATTAGTATTAATTTTACTTATGTACTTGCAATATTGTTTTCTATATTTACCATAATTGTTTTCAATAATAATTTTTGCAAGCGTATATATATAAAGAAGACGACTTTAAGGGGATGGCCGGAGTTAACAAGCAAGTTGATTATTTAAGTCGTTCCCATCACGAGATATGATGCTTTATGAGACAGAATTTTGATGGTGAAAATAGGGTTTTTGATGAGTAGACTGCCTACATCTCCCTTATGTTTCTACATTTCTAGTTATATTAAATTTAATTAAGACGGTCCATTATGGACAGCCCCTCTCTTATATGCCTTTCTCTATTTCAATTTTTTTTTCAATTAAATTATTCTAATTTGATCGAATTATGCCTCGTATACGTACGTTTCAGTTTTGTCTTTTCAAGTCTTCATAGCATATACATATACAATGAAAATAATAAAAACTGTATATTGTAGTTTAGTTCTATTTTATAAAGGAAACGTATGAAACCAATAATAATTTTTTATTGATTTTAAAAATAAAACTAATCTTAGAGATATTATTCTTATGCCCAAAGAAGCAATACAATCAGCATGTTGAATATATACGGTAAAAAAACGCGGTCCATCAAAATAAAACCGCGGATGGGGAAATGCCATTGGTATGCTTCTAGGGTTTATATCAATATTATCCCCCGATGAAACCCTAACCATAAAAAGTCATGATGGTCGGAAAATTAATACATTATCATCATGAGCAAAGATCGAAGGCTCTGAAAGCTTGCTTACCCATATGAATATGAATTCATATAAAATGAAAACATTATTAAAAAAAAATATAATAGACACGTATTAAATCCATGAACTGCCACCATAATCTTACAAAAAAAAAAACATACACCGATTAATCTAATATAAAAAAAACTATAGGAGAAGTTACATATATTCCGAGTTAATAAAAACTCCCGCGGGAGTGAACGTCGGCGATTAGAAACGACGGTCCAATAGCCGATGCTAAAAGTATTGAAAGGAACACAATACGTACCAATACCATTAATCGGAGAAGCCAAAAAAGAAAATGGTCTTCATCATTTCTTCTCCACTTCTTTTGTTAGGTTATCGGATCTGATCGGAGATGGAATGATATCTTGAAGCAATCCTTGATCCCTGACCGAAGACGAAGACGAAGAAGCTCGAGAAATGTTCTCAGCAACACCGAAACGTCTCTCTTCTTGTAAACTAAACCCCGTATTTACGAATCTGCGACTTGGATCGGCGGAACTTATATCGTTGATGATGCTTAGAGGGTTATTCCCGTACGTAGTAGCAGCAGTAGTCATGTACGGCTGCAACATGAGCTCCTGATGCTGAGTCAGCATGTACCGAGGCTGCTGAGCCATGAAGGATGAGGCGGCGGACATGTCGGAAGGTGATGTCAGCAAGCCGATGTGCCCACGTGGAGTTATGGGGAAAGGGTGACTGTGTTGGCCCTCGTACGTTGTCATGACGATGGAAGTATCCTCGGAGGATCTCTCCACCCTCTTCTTCACGCCGCAACCTGCCGTCGTGCAACGGTAGTAGCTCCTGTTTACATACACACAGACATATTCAATATAAATATTTATATACTATGTATCTACGTATATATGCATGTATATATTACTTTTAAACATGCAGAATAATAGCTAGGGTTGTTTATCCATGAACGCGATGGTTGCAAATGAATATAGAGTTATTTATAAAAAAGTATTTCAAATGTAAGTTCAAATTTCTTGATGAACATACTCAGCGAGCAGATTTAGTCACACACACATATACAAAAACAGACATGTTTTGTGTATACCTATAAATATGTATAGATAATCTGTTTGAGCGTACTGCATATAGAGATGTTTTTCACATGCATATGTATGCAACAAACACATATACATACTCCTACACAATCACATACACACATATATATATTTCAGATCTATGTGAACATTCTGAATCTTGGACTCTGGTTTTCAGATCGAAAAATATCAAAACACACACACACACACACACATATGTGTATATGGACCCATGCATGTTATGTGAGTATATACCTGGGATAAGGGCTATTTTTCACAGCCTTTTGGCCATATTTTCTCCACCTGTAACCATCGTCAAGGTGATCGATGTCGCTCTTCGTTAGGAACGCAAACCTCGGCTCTCTCAATCGTTTCTGGCTCTTCTTCTTCGCCTTTAACCTACACAAATCCAAACCCATGATTCAAATATACTTAAAAAAAACGAGCCGACATATTCAAGAATCACAGTGAGGGTTTTCAAATTAATCCACTTACTGTTGCTTCGTACCCTTCTGTTCCTGTTGATCTTGTTCCTCCTGATCTATAACACTCCCACTGGCTTTCGTAGCATTATTGTCATTTCCAGCTTCGTTCGACGAAGACGACACCGATGAAGAGTGAGGCGACGCTGGGGCAGTAACTTTCAAGACCTCCGGAGACTCTGCCGCCGTCGCCACCGTGGACGCAGGAGACGCCGCCGGACCCTGAGACGGGTGTGGCTGATAGAGGGGCAAATCCGTAATAAAGGGGTTGCTGTTGTGGAAAGCGAGAGAATCGAATAAAGAAGAAGAAGAGGAGGAGGAAGAAGAAAAGTGGTGGTGATCTTGTCGAAGCAAATCCATGAAGGAATTAGAATTGTTGGAAGAGTGGAGGACATCGTCGGAATAGGAATACAAATACGATGCCGTATCGAAGAAGATGCTCGACAAACCCATATTAGCCGCTACTTCATGATCTGACGAAGAGTACAACAGGTTATTCGCCATGTTCGAGATCGTGGCTTCTGATGGTGTCTGAATCTGACAGCGATGATGATTATGTTCGATCTTCGTGGCTGTGACCTGGTTGATGTCGCTACTGCTACTACTGATCTCCCGAAGCTGATGCTGATTCTGATTATGATGATGATGATGATGATGATGATCCTGATCTCTCTTCTTCTCCATGTAAAGGATAAAGAACTAGGAAAAAAGATCGAATCTTTGAGGTCCTTTATAGATGTATCATCATAAAATCAGGAAAAGAAAACCTTTTTTTTTTCTGGGTTTGAACATAAGTTTGTGTGTCTGCGATGTGTATGAGGTTATAAGCACAAGACAAAAGACAGTGATCTGAGGTTTCTCTCTCTATCTTTTTTGTAGGTGTGAATATAACTTAGTTGAGTTTTGGGTTATTCTCTGGAGAACAGCTTGGATTTGGGAGGTTTCCCATTTGATTTTTTTTTTATAGATATTTTCATTTTTATTTCAAAAACAAAAAAAAAATATAGAGAGAGAAAAGAAGGGAGTGACCGGCAAATGCCGGTAGATGAGAGCGTACGGACGCATGGAGGGGATTAAGGGGGACGGTGCCGTCCTCCTCCTGTAGCCATTAAATCCCTTTGTCCCTCCCTCCCCCCAATTTTTTCTTTATTTATTCTCCAATTTCTTATTATTTGAGACAATTAATTTTTCTAAATTTTGCTATTAAATTTAACGAACAATCATATATGTGGGTTTCTTATGTGTATGCTAAGTTTTCCCAATATTGTTCAATATCTATTTTTTTCTTTGTTAGAGTGAAATAATTGTTGTAGTGATTCTTCTCTAACATCAGTTCAACCAATTGGATTATTGGCTAAAATATCTACATTTTTTTTCTGAATAGTATAAAATAACAAAAAACATAGTAAATAATAATTCTTAAAAGGAAAAAATTATAATATCCTACAAAGAAAATAAGTTATTTAACATCCTCACTTTTTATTTTCTTTATTTAGAAAATCTTCTTATATTTGTTATTATTGTGTGGAAAAATATATTATTTGATCTACTGATAATTATTCTTATATCAAATATGTTTTTAATTCATCAATCTATTAACATTTCTATCAAAATACAAATTTATTGATTTTGTACTGATTATTAGGTTTAAAGTTAGACCTTTTTAGCAATGATTGTGAAACTTCACCTAAAACTTTATCCTCTTTAAGCACCCGAATTTACAAACCATGTATTGAAATTTTAGAAATTTCTGTTAATAGACGTCTTGTACCTAAATCGCGTATATATACACACGTATACAGGTTGTAACCGGTTTAACCGGTAGCCAATGGATGCGGAGAGGGGCGCGTAAGGGATGACACGTGGGAAGCGAAAAGGTGTGGGTCTGCCGCATGTGATTACTGCTCCATTTTATTTTTTATTTTTCATTTCCCTTGTTTTTTCTTTATAATTTTTACTTTTTTAAGTTTTTTCCCAATTTCTCCTTTTAACGGCAACTTGCCTTTTCGCACAATAAAATATTTTCGTAAAAAAATAATAATTAATTACAAAAAGATACATAAGATCTGTGACTCTGACACACAGGTTTACGTTTTTCGCCTAATGATATAATTTGAACTCGAACGTCTTTTCTCATGATTCTTTTCATATTGCATATGTTACTGTAACATTTGTTTCTCCCTAACCAATTGATTATTTGGTGAATTCGTGGACCAGTTGTCATGATGATTATTACTGACTATACTATATAATATCATGCTAACCTATAGTTACAGTTTCACTTCATCTTTTGTATTTACTTTTTGCTCAAGCCGTTGTCGACAATATTACGCGTTTTTTGGAATTGAAAGGGGGGTATAAATATATTTTACTATTTAAAAAATTCAACAAAATCGTTGCATCAATCAATTACTATTTGAATGATTGCTATCCCGCTCAATTTTAATATTCGTTTTAAGGAAAAAACGTAAAACAGATAGAGAAATATGATTGTTCAAAGGGTTAGTTTCGATTTAAGTATTAATTTGATGTGTGTGTATATATATATATATATATATATATATATATGATTTTAGTTGTATTTAGAAAACGTTTATATATGGGTTTTAAAATAAATTATTAAATCTATGATAAATTTGAACAGAACACAAATTTTAAATTAATTATTTTTATTAAAACAAAACAAAATTAATAAATCGGATCAAAATCTAATACAAAATGAATATATTTAAAATTTATAAAATAAAAAAAGTATAATGACAGTTGTTTTAATAAAAAAAAAGTAAAATTGGAAATATGTATATACTTTTACTTAAACGCTACTTATTTTTTTAAATAATTTAATAACTTTGGATGAAATAATAGTTGCGCTAGCTTTATGTACTCAACCATGTTAAATAAACTCGCACATAATTTATATCAATGAATACGACGGATAAAATAAAAATGCGTTTACGAAAACCACAGCGATTTCACGAAGATAGAGAGAACAAAGGAAAACTAAGCTTCGAGGATAAGATAAAAACAACAGAATGAGACAAAACAAAAAACAAATGATTTAATTATCTGAGCAATAAGAAATGTTTTTTTAATAATAAATTAAGTGTATTATAAAAAAAAATTAATGAATAAAACAATTAAAACGCGTAAAGGAGAAGCTTCGGAAAATAGGCTGACTCAAGGCATGCGTCAGCAATAAATTGCCGCTTTTCCGACAAGTCATCGGTATCATCATCCACCTCACTATTTATCTTGCTTGAAACAAATAATATAAAAATCACAATTTACTAATTAACAATCCATTAAAAAAATATTAAATTTAACAGTTTTATAAAGATTTATCATCATAATAATTAAATTAACAATGACATTATAGAATAAAAATATTTATATTAACTTACCCAATACATTTGAAACTTTTTTTTAATAGATTTTTAAAACAGTATTTTAGATTTTCCTTATCGTTTTTTTATAACCATTTCTACTTAAATTTCTATCTACGTATAAATATTACGTGCAACGTAAAAGATGGATGAAACGAAAAGTTTAATTTATAAATAAAGGGTCTACGTAAAGAAACTGAATCTAATTTATATATATTTTAAAATATAAATATATAAATAAAGGGGTCAAATCTTATAATGTTCAACTGAAAAGTATAACGCCCATCCTTCACAAATAATGTCTCCATGGGCAATATTTTCTATAATTCAAAGTTATAGATAATTATAGGTTTTTAAAAAAAGTTATGAGTGCTTTCAAAAGCCATAGTTTTCAAATATTCGATGGCTACAAGAAGCTAAATGTTTTTTATAAGGTTAATCAATTACAAAATTATATCGAACTTAGCATGTGGTATTAGTACGTACGTGTTTCCCATAATCCGTTGTGCACGAAAACATTTTGTTTATTTGTAACAATTACAATCTCTCTGATCTACTAAAGTTAACATTTTTACCTTTTTTACGAATTACCATTAGCAGAAAACAATAAACCCTTTTTTGTTTTTACCTTTTATAAAAATATATTTACTATATACCAATTATTAGAAACTTCATTTTAAACAAATAAATTTTGAAATATTACCAGATTCCATCCAAAATAATAATAATAATATTAATAAAATACATTGTAGAAACTTTTTCAAAATATAGATATTTAATTGTTGGTAGTTGTTATTATTTTTGAAATACTTTTCTTTTTATGAATTTGAACCTTTCAAAATATAGATATTTAAAATGTTAGTTAAAAAAGAATCTTCTTCAAATACTTTTCTTTATGAATTTTAGTGGTATCTTTATTTCCGTTTAATTTAATTTTCAAGGATTATATTATTATATTATTGCATGCTCTTCGCAAGATAAAAAGCCTTTTGTGGCTCGAACCACAACAACGCTGTCAACCGAAGGCGCTACACGTGTCAGATCGGACGGTTAAGATTACTCCATCGAATAAGGCTGTCGAAGCACGTGTGCTTTTACGCGGTCTCCTTCCCCTTCTCCTCTCCATGTCGGTTGCTTCTTACGCAAGCGACTCCCTTTTTTTCTTTCTTTTTTTTTTTTAAAAAAAATTTTAATTGTGGAATATTTCAGTGTGTAAAGATAATGGACAGTCAAAATAAAATCTCAATAAAAGCGAATACTAAACAGTTACATTTGTAATTTGGACGACAGGATGAAGTTTTCTTCTTTCTTTTTTTTTTCATAATGTTAATTAATAATCATGCAAATTGTTATATTACCACTTATATGATTCTCATACACATACATGTATATTTTTCTCACGTTTATCAGTGTATATATATATATATATTATATGCATGTGTCTGTACTTTTTCAGTTTAAAAAAAAAATCGTAAACCCTACGAATTACGATCCAAGTGAAAATGCGAACATGTTCATACATACATACATACATACATACATACATACGTACATACATACATGCATGCACACATACGTACATGCATGCATGCTGTATGCATACATACACGCGTGTGTCCGCTTGCATATATAATCATATACGTATAAAATATAGTGGTGCATCATGAACATGGAAAGCAGCCGCAAACAAAGGAGGAAAAGTCCACACTCCTTTTCTGTAACTTCATCCTTACTTCAATATCCTTTCAATAATTTCCAAATTCCAAGCACCAAATTTCAAATTAAAATACTCCTACCACCACAACCACTCGGATCTAAAATATTCGACACATACATACATACATACATACATACATATATATATGCGCACACATATGTTATATAATGTTTAATTCTGCACCGACTCGTGAATTAAGCATGCGTGTAAGATCTATGTGTGCACAGCATACTATAACTAATAGTAGAACACACATGCTGCATATTTATATACTTTAAACGTATAAAAATATATATTAGTATATATATGAATGAGGGTAATCAAGATCAGAAGTGATTTTGTAAGATTCCATTTCTATATAACATATATGATAGTATAGTCAACAAAGGATCATATCATGCCTAGTGCTCGTCGGAGTATATATGTCCGACTCCGACATGTGATGTTGCGTATAATATGCACTCACATGGGTGAGGTCGGGGACCGTTTTCATGCTTGTGTCAAGATCTATGATAATTATTTGTCTGTATATATATATATATATATTATATATGTTGATATATAATGTTATAAATAATTGATGTTGGACTAAAAGCAAAGAATTAAATAAATGAAAAATAGGATTGACCATGGGATCAAAGCTAAGCTAACTGCTAAAGTTGAAGAAGACCGCGACTAATTAAGAATGACGGTCCATACATTTGAATTTTTACATATATATTATTGAATGAGGAAAAGGCAGTGGTCAAAAGTCAAAGCTGTTGACCATCATTTTGTTCAACCTTAGCTTCAAAAAATTAAAAGGTTGAGCAAATTGGATAATCAATATCAATCCAAAATGTGTACTTTATGTTATGGAATTTTCATCACATACAATTACGTACAAGTATATTTGTCAAATCCACTTTGGGTAATTTCAAATTTCTTACATGATAGGATTTATCATAAGAATATTTTTCTAATATAACTATATACTTTTTTTAGATACATGCACATCATACGTATATATATTTTTGGATTTTTCATTCGTTTTTTCTTTTGTATTTTCAGTAACTTTATGTTTATTCTTTCAAGTTTTTTCCTATTTCTTTTTTAAACAAAATTTTAAATACAGTATTAAGATTAACCTACATAAATATGTGATTAACGGCCAAAGTTTTGTTTTCTTATCTATATAAACTTATTCGAATTATTTATACAAATATATCTGAAAATATAGTCCAAAAACCATGATCGTTAGGAAGATTAATATAAACCCCAACGACAAGATCGTGAGTTTGGCTAGATCAATCAAAATTTTAAAAGAATATAATATGTGTATATATAAATGTATTCCGTTTTTTCCCTTTGATTAAAGTGTACAATCCGTATTTTATCCAAAAGATATATTCAAATTGCCGAAACAGTTTGCATATATATATATATACACACATATATACATAGAGAGAGAGAAGACTAATGGTCAAGATTCGTTCTGGGCATGATGACCAACATGTTAAATTGAAATGGTGTTTTATCGAGTGAGAACACCCAGCGATGATTGCGGCCTCACTGATTTTACATTTTTTTAATCTGTTCTGATACTCGTTTAATTTAATTTAATATAATTGTGTGGACCGTCGCGCATACGTTATTTGAATTAAAAAATAAATAAATAAGCAATTTATTCACGGTCTGTATATTGTATATATACAAGTACAAACATATATACATAATGAAGAGGACGAGAAGAAGAAAAGGTCAAAGTCAACAAGAGGGCGATTAATGAATGCATAACGCTAAACCCTAAAACGCGTTGTTTTTTTGAAGCATACAAACAAAACAAGCCCACTTTATCTCCGTGGGGACAGCTGCAATGACAAAAAAAAAAAAAAAAAAAAAAAAAAAAAACAGCAACCCCCTCGTTTGCCGTGTACGTCTCTCTCCTTTTTTTTTACATGCATATACATACGCACGCACATATATATATATATATATATATGTATGTATAATGTATATGTATGTAGATGTACACTCGCGATACGATGATGAGTGTAGCATCTGTGTATGTTTCAGCCAAATCTATCGAGTCCTCCATTAAACATGTTTGCATTTTCTGTCTCCATTTTGATACATTTTTTATTTTAGAAAACGTAGATTCAATACACACACACATATATATATATATGTATATGACATGACAGTCTGTGTTTTATGAGAATGGATTAATATCGATATATACACGTACACAATTTTGGTGAAGTGCTAACTTTTCATTATATAATGATAGACGAGAAACGTGTGTGGTCATGGGTGACATAATCATGTAAATGAATGTAGAAATCGAATCTAAGTTATTCACAAAATTTCAATGAAATTTGAATCGGTCTTCTAGAAAGTTGGAAATTTATGTCCTATCGTACGCCATTTGTACAAAATAGGTCTCTTTTTTTTCTAAATGCATATGCATGTCATTATCAATCACAAACATATACATATATATATATATATATGTAATGTAATCGTTAAATTCTAAATTTGGTATAAGATTTGTTGATAGAAGTGGAATAGTATATCATATGGAAAGTGAATCGATTTCCATAGGGTCAAACTAAGCCCCAACCGTCTTTAAAGCATATATGACCTTAAAAGGGCCTTTTTCCCCCCCTTAGGCATCTACAATTTTCCTTCCAAAATCTTAAATATTTTATTTTGCCTGTAATATATAAGACGGTGGATACTTCATTACGTATAAATCAAACATTGAGGATATAATCTAATTCGTGGAAGAAAAAAAAAATAAAAAAAGATTTATAAATACAATTCCCAGATTTCAGACAATGAAACATGTAAATTTTTTAGACAAACTTTCAAAATTGAAAATTTATATTCATCTGTTTTTTTTTTTAAAAAAAAAATCTCATATAACTATTCTAATTCTACAAAATGTATCAAAATTTAATTTGATCTCCTCTATACTTCAAATATTAAAATATTTCAGAATTAGATAGTTCAAATTGTTAACTCAAATGTAATAATGTTCTAAGTATTAGTTAAAAGATAATCCCAAACATAAAAAATGAATCAATGTTATAAATCACTTTCGATTTGTAATATTAATTTAAGACATTTTAATATTTAATATATTAATTTAAAACATTTTTATAGTTAAAATATCAATTAAAAATTTAGATATTTAATTCGAAAAATTTATCTATCTAACTATATATTTAGTTGGAAAGCTGAATTTAGAACTCCTAACTAGGGATGGATTATTCGAAATTGAAAACCCACACACACACAGCCAATATGAAACACACAAATAGACAAAAACGGGTACTTAATAACCTCCAAGTAATCTAATCATCAAATCCTTAATTCCAACCAAAGGGGAAGGAACATAAGACATTACGACACAGAGCTCTGAACAGAGGCAGCAAGACAAACGTACGAAAACAAGCGTTCTTCTACCATTTTGAGACAAAAATTTCATCCAGACGGGACCCAAACAACAACAACAACAAAAAAGATTAGGGATCTTGCCCTTCGTACCTCTGCTGATCCCATTGGATAACAATCTGAAATCATGCCTGTCTCAAGGGTCTGTAGCAATGGCGGCAGGAGCTTGCTTAAGCCTCCGTTGATGAACATCCCAGTTATAAATACGCGCAATCGTCACCTGTTCCACCCAAAACCCCCACCAAAAAAAAAATAATAATCCAAGTCAGTAAGACAACTTCACTCTTTGCTCCTGATATATATTTCCTACATCGGTGTAAAATCTTAGCAATTGTACAAAATAACCATAAATTCAATCTGATAGGATCCACCATTCATTCTGCAATGCAGCATAAGCTGCTCGGGTGTGAATCTCAAAACATCATATGTATAACAAATTTGAGTTGTCTTGAGATTCACTATGATGCGTTGTAGTTTCCATTTCCCACCTACGAGTAGATTCTGACTTACGGGCAGTGTAAGGGTTCTGTCTTCCTTAGGCAAAACAAGGAACAGAACCCAGTAAAAAGTAAAAATGAATTCACCTGTGTAATCGTGACTTGATCCCTCAAGAACTGTAAATCGGCTACGAGAACTTTCAAACTGGCTTTAGCATTTTCCAGATTGTTTTTCAGAAGAGTTGTGGCCTGCATGACCAGAAGATTCAAGAATTTATTCTTGGGTCCTTGGCACAAGACAGTAGAAGCCCGTAAGAGAGAATATAACTGTCAGAGTGTTGGACCTCTTCACATGAGTATTCCAGCATGACATTTGCTCCCAACCACAGACAGACCGAGTCTGAATCTTCAATACAAGCCCGCGAATATATGCCTTCGGACACCTCAAAATCAGCGGTAAGTGCCTGCACCATAAGTAAGTTCCATAAGAATACGACAGAATATAATAATGCCATTGAAAACACAGTGTCTTTACATCAAAGCAAATTCCATTCAGAAAAGATGAAACATCGTTAGTATCATGCATCACAAGATGCGATGAATTGATTCTGCCAGTGCGGCACAGAACCATATTCCTCTGCAGAACACATTATGTGGTTATCATCAAGACTTAATGACACTAATGTTCTCCATTAGCTTGAACTAAATAACCATTGAGTTTAACCATCATGATTTAGCTTCCAAAATCAGTCTGATCAGCTTATTCAGAATAGTGGAATTCAGGAAAAAAAAAAGTCCCATCTCTATAAGCAAGTAAACTTAGCCAATGAGTCTAGACATGTATGAGAGTCACGAGAATTAACCCGTGGGGTGCAAGGAAGCCGATTTACACGATCTTTCATTGGTAATGTAATTAAGTGTGAGCATGACTACCAACATCGGAAAGATGGTGAGCTATACCTATTACCTAAGGGGAAAAGATTGAGAAATCTCTTGTTGAGGGTTGTCTTCGGCCCAATAGGATGCAAATTATCATCCATAACATATACATCCACCGATTTAACAAAGAGAAAACTCATCCTATTTTCTACCTCTTGAAATCAACAGTCAGGGCTTTTGAGAGAGAAATTAGACAGGTTAATGCTGCATCAAATAAAACGACTTAACAGAGCAGTAGAGCATTTTAAAACGATCAATCAAAATGGACAACGACGAACCTCACCAGTACCCTTCCTGGCTTGCAAGGTGGCAACAACATCTAAGCACTTCTCGATATCCGGGATTTTAGCCTGAGAGCCAGAATAATGACAAGACTATTAATCAAAGATTACAAGACGGAAAAGAAACAGATTAATACAACAAGTAGAACAATCAATTCAGAATATTATATGAGTGTGAGAATAACAGGCAAACTGGATACAAAATCTCGGTTCATCCCATATGCTTCACCGGGTCTAATCTTACAAGGCAAGGGAAGCTCGGTACCTGAAGATCCCTTTGTTGGGCAAGAAGCTTCATCTCAACCACCTTATATTGCTGAAGCCTACATAAGATTCCACACAAAAGGGTTTTAAATTCAAACAAAACGTATACAACTTACTATATTTACGAAATGAACGTAGAGGAACCCAAATCAAGATCAAACATTCAACACCCAAAATCATAAAATTCGAATTCTTCGCAAACTACACCAATCGCCTATAATACTTGACTGGAAAGCTAAACCCAGACAAACAACTCCACGAACACACGCTGGCAGATAGAGTGAGAGAGAGAACCTCTCCTGGAGGAAGGCAAGAGCAGAGTTTGAATCGAGACCGGACTGAGAGAGGTAAGTCTCGACATCTTCGATGAATTTAGCGGCTGGAATCCCTCGTCTCTCGGTCAAATCTCCACCGCCGCCGCTCGAAGAAGACGACGCCATTTCCAATACGCGAGCGACAAATCGAATCCGAATCTCGATTACCTGTCGGGATTTAGGGTTTTCCCACTGTGAACACGGGACCGTATGGGCTTTTAGTCTCGATTCTAGATCGCCCGAGCCACGCTCCCTCCAAGACTGAATGAGAACAGAGACGCAACGCAAGGACTCGAGGAAAGCGGCGACGTTTTGACAACATTTCTAGACGACGTCGTTCAAAGATGGGTTTAAACGTTAAGTGGGCCTGTCGATTGGTTTATTTAGGCCCATTATCAAAACGCCGTCGTTTAACAGGTTGAACTTCGGGTAAACCCGGCCCATTATGCATGACCAACGTTGTTCTTTAACGACGATAATTCTTGTTTTATTTTTGGAGTTTTGGTGAGATCACTTAAAAATAATGAAAATTAATAAATTAGGGTTTGGGTTTAATTTTGGTTTCGTTTCAAATCTACTTTTGTAATATTTAATTTCTTTTGGGTTATATAACTAATTTCCCCTAGCTTATTTTTTATTGGTTTCGGATTTTAAAAGGTTTTTAATAAAATATATTTATTTATTATTGGGTTATGTAACCACCTGTCCCTAATTCTATTTCTATGTTAGCCAAAATGGTTATTTCTATTGAATTTCCGAGACATTTGCTTAGAGTTTATAATGAGACATTTTTAAAATTTATTATATGGACACTTAAATAATTTAGGCGCAAGTTCAAAGTTTTGAATCACCTTGATTATGTTTTAATCTTTCTTGCCCACCTATGTTTCAGGGTTTGCCAATATATAACTTTTACAGAATTAGATTCCATTCACAACGTGTTCATTTATTTTTTTTGGTGATCTCTTGCATTCGATATATATAATTTAAAACCTTTCTTAGAGTATACATGGAAAAAAATTTAGAGTTGGATGGAGCCAAAAGGCTAAAAAAGCTCATTAAAACAGAATGGTGCCGATCTTTTTCTTTTAAAAAAAAAAAGCGCAAATTGATATACCGAAAGGGAAAAAGTTGTGCACATTATTTGGGCCCTCATTATAAAATCAAAGTAATTTCTATTTAAATATATGTTGCTATAATATTTTCAACCGAATCAATTAAATTTTAAATAAATTTAAATATTAAATAACTAAAAAGAATAAAATGAAAATTATTATAAGAAATAAATATTATCTATTAAAAACTCAATCCAAATCGAATTTTAATATAATTTGTATCAAAAGAAAATTGACATAATAAAATCTGGATATTTTTTCTTCTTTATAAAAAATCAAACCCGGAAAAAAGACTCGAACCTATATATATATATATATATATATATATATATATATAGGGTGTGTTTTTTTTATATAAATATTGCACTT